CGTAGCCCTCTCAGTGTTGCAGGTTCTAAGTCACAGCAGCCTCTCAGTGTTGCTGGTTCTAAGTCACAGTAGCCTCTCAGTGTTGCTGGTTTTTAAGTCCAGCAGCCTCTCAATGTTTTCTGGTTCTAAGTCACAGTTTGCCTCTACTGCTGCAGGTTCTAAGTCACAGAAGCCTCTCACGCTGCAGGGTTTTAAGTCACAGCAGCCTCTTTACTGCTGCAGGTTCTAAGTCACAGGGAGCTCTTCATGCTTTCAGGTTCTAAGTCACAGAAGCCTCTAAGTGCTGCAGGTTCTAAGTACAGAAGCCTCTCAGTGCTTCAGGTTCTAAGTCACAGCAGCCTTCAGTGTTTCAGTTCTAAGTCACAGCAGCCTCTCATGTGCCGTTCTGAGTCCAGAAGCTCTCAGTACGCAGGTTCTAAGTTACAGCGTCTTCAGTGTTGCAGTTCTAAGTCACAGCAGCCTCTCACTGCTGCAGGTTCTAAGTCACAGAAGCCTCTCAGTGGTGCAGGTTCTAAGTCAAAGAAGCCTTTACAGCTTTCAGGTTCTAAGTCACAGAAGGTTCCTCATGCGCAGGGTTTTAAGTTTACGCACCCCTTTGTGTTTCAGGTTCTAAGTCCAGAAGCCTCTCAGTGCTTCAGGTTCTAAGTCACAATAGCCTCTCAGTGCTTCAGGTTCTAAGTCACAGCAGCTTCTAACTCCTGCAGGTTCTAAGTCACAGAAGCCTCTCAGTGGTGCAGGTTCTAAGTCTCAGCAGCCTCTCAGTGCTGCAGGTTCTAAGTCACAGCAGCCTCTCAGTGTTGCAGGTTCTAAGTCACAGCAGCCTCTAACTGCTGCAGGTTCTAAGTCACAGAAGCCTCTCAGTGCTGCAGGTTCTAAGTCACAGCAGCCTCTCAGTGTTGCAGGTTCTAAGTCACAGCAGCCTCTCAGTGCTGCAGGTTCTAAGTCACAGAAGCCTCTCAGTGTTGCAGGTTCTAAGTGACAGCAGACTCTCAGTGCTGCGGGTTCTAAGTCACAGCAGCCTCTCACTGCTGCACATTCTAAGTCACAGCAGCCCTCTCAGTGCTGCGGGTTCTAAGTCACAGCAAACCCCTCAGTGCTGCACTTCTAAGTCACAGCAGCCCTTCAGTGTTGCTGTTTAAGTCACAGTAGCCCCTCAGTGTTGCTGGTTCTAAGTCACAGCAGCCTCTCAGTGTTCTGGGTTCCTAAGTCACAGCAGCCTCTCAGTGTTGCTGGTTCTATGTCACAGCAGCCTCTCAATGTTGCTGGTAATAAGTCACAGTAGCCTCTCAGTGTTGCAGGTTCTAAGTCACACTTCCTCCCCAGTGTTGCTGGGTTTTAGTCCCCGGGGCCTCTCAGTGTTGCTGTTCTAAGTCACAGTAGCCCTTCAGTGTGGCAGGTTCTAAGTCACAGCAAACCTTTAGTGTTGCGGTTCTAAGTCACAGTAGCCTCTCAGTGTTGCTGGTTCTAAGTCACAGCAGCCTCTCAGTGTTGCTGGTTCTAGGTCACAGCAGCCTCTCAGTGTTGCTGGTTCTAAGTCACAGTAGCCTCTCAGTGTTGCAGGTTCTAAGTCACAGCAGCCTCTCAGTGTTGCAGGTTCTAAGTCACAGCTGCCTCTCAGTGCTGCACGTTCAAAGTCACAGCACTGAGGTGCTGTTACTTGGAGCCAGCAGCAGGGAACAGATCCGCATGCCTTTTCTGAGAAAAATTTTCCCCCCGGGTCCTTCAGTTGTGCCTGCAAATTGCAGCTTCTGAGACGCATTGAGAAGTGTTTAAATACTTTAGCTAAAGTATTCCACCATCCGTGGCTTAATTTAATATATATATATATATATATATATATATATATTTTATATATATATATTTATAATATATATTATATATATTATATATATATCAGCGCCGCCCACCGAGGCAAGGTGACTCGAAAAAGAGAACTTAATAAAGTTTTTCTGTTTTTTTTTTACATTCACTAACATATACATAATTTGTTACTAGCACATTGCTCCCGGCATTTGAGTCACCTGTTGCGACACGTAAACTTACACAGGAAAGATTGTTGTCCATTTTCCCATAGAAATGAAAGGAAATAAAAAAGAACAAGAACTATTAAGAAAACAGAAAAAACTCAGATGGGTGTGTATACAAATACACTTACATGCCTGTGTAGTGACTAATACAAGGAGAAGTAGCAAGTTGTACCTGTTATCTTGCATGTTTATCAGACAGAAACAATAAATAAATACGTAGATATATATAGGTAGTAGGTTGGTAGACAGCAACCACCCAGGGAGGTACTACCGTCCTGTCAAGTGAGTGTAAAACGAAAACCTGTAATTGTCTTACATGATGGTAGGATTGCTGGTTTTCTTTTTCTTTCTGTCTCATGAACATGCAAGAAAACTGGTACGTCTTGCTAGTTCTACTTACACTTAGGCACACTACATATACATGTACACATATATGTATACACACCAATATGAATTTTCTTTTATTCTAAATAGTTCTTGTTCTTATTTACTTCATCTCCATGGAGAAGTGGAAAAGAATCTTCCTCTATAAGCCATGTGTGTTGTAAGAGGCAACTGAAAGGCCGGGAGCAATGAATTAGTAACCCCTTCTCCTGTATAAATTATTAATAATATTGTTGGATGTCCTGGCTTTAAACGAAACAAAGCTGAAGGTGGTAAGAGATTTTCATTGGGAAGAAATAAATGGGATTAAGTCAGGAGTATCTGAAAGAGAGTTAGAGCTAAGGAAGGGGTGAAGTATCAGTTATGGGATAAGAAGAGGGAATATAAATGCATAAATTCAAGGATTATGTGGATTAAATTAGGGTTGGATGCAAAAAGTGAGTTATAATAAGTATTTATCTACATGATGAAGAAGAGTGTAGAGGAGAGATTTTGAGAGATGTTAAGTTAGTGTTTGGGAAGTTTTGATCCAAGTAAGAGAGTATCGGTGGTGGGGGACATGAATGCTAAAGTGGGTGAAACTGTTATAGAGGATGTGGCAGGTAAATTTGGGGTGCCAGGTGTAAATGATAATGGGGGTCTTTAACTGAGCTTTGAAAGGGTTTTGGTAATAGGTAATATACATTTTAGGGAAAAAGGGATAAATAAATATACAAGATATGATATACTAGAGTGTAATGACAGTAGTTTGTTAGACTATGTATTAGTAGATAAAAGACTGATGGGTAGACTTCGGGATGTTCATGTTTATAGAGGGGCCACAGATATATCAGATCACTTTTTAGCTGTAGCTACAGTGAGAGATGAAAGTGAAAGGTAGATGGGAAACAAGGAGAATGGCATCAGCAAGTAAGCGAGAGATGAAAGTTTGTAAACTAAATGAGGAGGCAGTTTAGGGTAAGATGTAAAAAACTATTGGAAGAAAGATGAGCTAGTGAGAGTATAGACAATTAGGTTGAGAGAGGTATAGGATAGATTGAAGAATGTAGTGTTAGTGTTCAGCAGAAGTTTGTGGTTACCGGAAAATGGGTGCAGGAGGGAAGTAGAGCGAGTGGTGGAATGATGAGGTAGAGTAATAAGAGAGAAAAAGTTAACAAATGAGAGTTTTTTTACAAAATGATCCAAATAGGGAAGAGTATATAGAGAGGAATAGAGAGGATAAGAAAGTGATGACGAAATGTAAAATGAGAGCAAATAAGAGAGTGGGTGAGATACTATCAAACAAATTTTGCTGAGAATAAGAAAAAGTTTTGAAGTGAAATTATTAGAATTATTAGACAGAGAGCTGGATATATCTGGAAGATGGAGGGAATATTTTGAGAAACTGTTGAATGCTGATGAAGACAGGGGAAGCTGTGATATCGTGCACTGGGCAGGGAGATATAACATATTGTAGGAGTGAAGAAGAGCCAGTTGTGAGTGTGGGAAAAGTGCATGAGTCAGTGGATAGAATAAAAAGTGTGTAAAACAGCTGGGATTGATGGGACAAAGACAGGAATGTTAAAATCAGGTGGGGATATAGTTTTGGAATGGTTGGTGCTTTTATTTAAAAAATGAATGGAAGAGGGGAAGGTACCTAAGGATTGGGAGAGAGCATGAATAGTTGATTTGTGTAAAGGCAAAGGGGACAAAAGAGAGTGTAAAAATTACAGGGGAATAAGCCTGTTGAGTATACCTGATAAGTTGTAAGGTAGAGTTATTATTGAAAGAATTAAGAGTATGATGGATTGCAGATGAACAAGGAGGCTTTAGAAAGAATAGGGGGTGTGTAGACCAAGTGTTTACAGTAAAGTATAAAGGTGAGCAGTATTTAGCTTATGGTAAAGAGGTATTCGTTGCATTTATGGATTTGGAAAAGGCATATAAGGTAGATAGGAGAGCAATGTGGCAGATGTTGCAAATGGACGAAATAATTTGTAGCGGTTAAGAATTTTTACAAGGATAGTGAGGCTCAGGTTAGAGTATGTAGGAGAGAGAAAGATTATTGCCCAGTAAAAGTAGATCTTAGACAGAGATATGTGATGTTACTATGGCTGTTCAATATATTTATAGATGGGTTTGTAAGAAAAGTGAATGCTCGGGAGTTGCCAAAAGGTGTGGGATTAAGACATAAAAAATCTAACATAAAGTGGAAGTTGGGAGATTCTGAAGAGATGGTGCAGAGATTGGTGGACGAGTATCGGAGGGTATGTAAAAGAAGGAAATTAAAAGTGAATGTAGGAAAGAGCAAGGTGATGAGGGTAATAAAAAATTTAGGTAATGAAAGAATGGATATCAGATTGGAGGGAGGTAGTATGAAGGAAATGAATGCATTCAAATATTTGGGAGTGGATTATCAGTGATTAAGTGAAAGATGATGATGGAAGTGTTTCTTCATTTTCGGGTCACTCTGCCTTGGTGGGAATCAACCTATGTGTTAATAAAAATAAATATTATCTGAAAACAATTAGTGGTTAAGAGATGTTATCTAGAAGCTGAAGCTCTATCTCAGAGAGTACATGAAAACACACATATATCCATGCTACTAACTTATTGGGCGAGGTGTCAGCATTACGGCATCAGCACTTTATCGACGAAGGATCCGAAGCCAAGATTAAATTGACTGGTGAGGATTCTCAGCTGGTCCGCCAACTTCGACCCTAAAGTAGCCAACTGCTCCTTATCATCTTTCATGGAGTTAGACAGATCCATCAGGTAGTAGAGATCGACCGGGTAGTCTCCGGCCTGGCGGTACTTCAGAGTGATGTTGATGGGTACTCCTGTATTGAAGACATGGTAGTGTTAGTGTCCACTGCTTGGACCAGTGGAGAGACCACAATGTTAGTGTCTACTGCTTGGACCAGTGGAGAGACCACATTGTTAGTGTCCACTGCTTGGACCAGTGGAGAGACCACAGTGTTAGTGTCCACTGCATGGACCAGTGGAGAGACCACAATGTTAGTGTCCACTGCTTGGACCAGTGGAGAGACCACAGTGTTAGTGTCCACTGCATGGACCAGTGGAGAGACCACATTGTTAGTGTCCACTGCTTGGACCAGTGGAGAGACCACAATGTTAGTGTCCACTGCATGGACCAGTGGAGAGACCACAGTGTTAGTGTCTACTGCTTGGACCAGTGGAGAGACCACATTGTTAGTGTCCACTGCTTGGACCAGTGGAGAGACCACAATGTTAGTGTCCACTGCTTGGACCAGTGGAGAGACCACAATGTTAGTGTCCACTGCTTGGACCAGTTTGGGGAGACCACAGTGTTAGTGTCTACTGCTTGGACCAGTGGAGAGACCACAGTGTTAGTGTCTACTGCTTGGACCAGTGGAGAGACCACAGTGTTAGTGTCTACTGCTTGGACCAGTGGAGAGACCACAGTGTTAGTGTCCACTGCTTGGACCAGTGGAGAGACCACAATGTTAGTGTCCACTGCTTGGACCAGTGGAGAGACACAGTGTTAGTGTCTACTGCTTGGACCAGTGGAGAGACCACAATGTTAGTGTCTACTGCTTGGACCAGTGGAGAGACCATAATGTTAGTGTCCACTGCTTGGACCAGTGGAGAGACCACAGTGTTAGTGTCCACTTTCTTGGACCATGGAGAGACCAAAAATGTTTAGTGTCTACTGCTTGGACCAGTGGAGAGACCACAATGTTAGTGTCTACTGCTTGGACCAGTGGAGAGACCACAGTGTTAGTGCCCACTCCTTAGACCAGGGAAGAGACCACAATATTAGTGTCTTCTGTATGGACCAGGGCAGACTATTAATGTCCATTGTATGGACCAGAGAAGATTGCTAATGTCCACTGTATTAACACTGGAATGTAGAGGAAATACGGCACGTTTATATAGGTGGCAGGGTTTCCTCTGGCTGGGATGAAGGGATCACAGAAGGCAGGGTGGTAGGGGTTCCTCTGGCTGGGATGAAGGGATCACAGAAGGCAGGGTGGCAGGGGTTCCTCTGGCTGGGGTGAAGGGATCACAGAAGGCAGGGTGGTAGGGGTTCCTGTGGCTGGGGATGAAGGGATCACAGAAGGCAGGGTGGCAGGGGTTCCTCTGGCTGGGGTGAAGGGATCACAGAAGGCAGGGTGGCAGGGGTTCCTCTGGCTGGGATGAAGGGATCACAGAAGGCAGGGTGGCAGGGGTTCCTCTGGCTGGGATGAAGGGATCACAGAAGGCAGGGTGGTAGGGGTTCCTGTGGCTGGGATGAAGGGATCACAGAAGGCAGGGTGGCAGGGGTTCCTCTGGCTGGGATGAAGGGATCACAGAAGGCAGGGTGGTAGGGGTTCCTGTGGCTGGGATGAAGGGATCACAGAAGGCAGGGTGGCAGGGGTTCCTCTGGCTGGGATGAAGGGATCACAGAAGGCAGGGTGGCAGGGGTTCCTCTGGCTGGGATGAAGGGATCACAGAAGGCAGGGTGGCAGGGGTTCCTCTGGGCTGGGATGAAGGGATCACAGAAGGCAGGGTGGCAGGGGTTCCTCTGGCTGGGGTGAAGGGATCACAGAAGGCAGGGTGGTAGGGGTTCCTCTGGCTGGGATGAAGGGATCACAGGGAAAGGCAGGGTGGTAGGGGTTCCTCTGGCTGGGATGAAGGGATCACAGAAGGCAGGGTGGTAGGGGTTCCTCTGGCTGGGATGAAGGGATCACAGAAGGCAGGGTGGCAGGGGTTCCTCTGGCTGGATGAAGGGATCACAGAAGGGCAGGGTGGTAGGGGTTCCTCTGGCTAGGATGAAGGGATCACAGAAGGCAGGGTGTGTAGGGGTTCCTCTGGCTGGGATGAAGGGATCACAGAAGGCAGGGTGGCAGGGGTTCCTGTGGCGGGGATGAAGGGATCACAGAAGGCAGGGTGGCAGGGGTTCCTCTGGCTGGGATGAAGGGATCACAGAAGGCAGGGTGGTAGGGGTTCCTCTGGCTGGGATGAAGGGATCACAGAAGGCAGGGTGGTAGGGGTTCCTCTGGCTGGGATGAAGGGATCACAGAAGGCAGGGTGGTAGGGGTTCCTCTGGCTGGGATGAAGGGATCACAGAAGGCAGGGTGGTAGGGGTTCCTCTGGCTGGGATAAGGGATCACAGAAGGCAGGGTGGCAGGGGTTCCTCTGGCTGGGATGAAGGGATCACAGAAGGCAGGTGGCAGGGTTCCTCTGGCTGGGGTGAAGGGATCACAGAAGGCAGGGTGGCAGGGGTTCCTCTGGCTGGGATGAAGGGATCACAGAAGGCAGGGTGGCAGGGGTTCCTCTGGCTGGGATGAAGGGATCACAGAAGGCAGGGTGGCAGGGGTTCCTCTGGCTGGGATGAAGGGATCACAGAAGGCAGGGTGGCAGGGGTTCCTCTGGCTGGATGAAGGGATCACAGAAGGCGGATGGCAGGGGTTCCTCTGGCTGGGATGAAGGGATCACAGAAGGCAGGGTGGTAGGGGTTCCTCTGGCTAGGATGAAGGGATCACAGAAGGCAGGGTGGCAGGGGTTCCTCTGGCTGGGGTAAATTTTTCACAATATGCATATATAGGGGACTGAGAATAATGAAGAGGAAAACTGAAATTTTACATGCAAGGAAATTAAACAACCTCAGAACTGGTCCCAACATGCTAACCCGGATTTCACTATTAACTTGTCGAGTGCTGAGCTAACCTGGGACCAACTATACAGAGCTACGATATGGATTAAGTTTCGCACCTACTAGTGGGGGCATTATTTATGTTGACCTTGCCAAGCCTTTTTGCAATCTGGTAAAACAAGGGAACCTGTCCCTGGAAATGTTTAACATTTGCAAAGGCGTGGTATATGGGGCTTATCCTCAAATGTTTGTTAAGTCATACCATGAATTAAGGAAAGATCCTAGACTTAACCTCACGAAAGAGGTAAAAGCTAATGTGATAGTAATTATAGACGAAGTAGATTATAGTGTATTAGGAAGTGTATTGTAGAAAATATGTCTAAAAAAGCTCCATGTATAATGTCAGTTTACAGGTATTGTTCTGAAACCAGACGCATATTGGACCTGGTCAGTCAGAGTGGCCAGTAGAGGTGTGTTTTGAGTCAGTACAGGAGGAGCGCTGGCTGAAGCAAGATGTCATGGTTGGTGTTTGTGTAGGGGGTGGATTTGGGTAAATTGATGCCATAAGTTGTTTGAATAATTTTTTGTATTTACTCTCCTGATATTTTCTTTTAAGGCCCTAGTGTGTGCAAGGAGTGTGTGTAGTGGAGAGTAGAACATAAGAAAGGAGAAACACTGCAGCAGGCCTGTTGGCCCATACAAGGGCCAAGTGGATAAGTACATCAGTGGTGACGTGTACTTAGCTCTGTGAAGACCTGTTTGTGTGCTCTCTGTGAATCTGAACCAGGATGCCCTCTCTTGAGCAACTTTACCAGCAGCTGACAGAAGAGCTCAGAGTTGCTAAGATGGAGATACGGCGATTAACGGAGGAGAACAAGAGGATTCGTAGTAATCCTCCTGTTGTGAGTCCCCAGGTTAAGAGGGAAGCTTGGTCAGTGGCCGGGCAGCATGGAACCAAGCTGAAGATCAAGAAAACGGTTGGAGAGGCAGAAACAACGAGAAACCAGAAGACTACCGTGGAAACTTCCAACCCATTCTCGGTGCTACCTGACGAATGTGAGTGTTCTACTGGGAATGCCACAACGAGCACTAAAGAAGCATTAGCAGACGTGAGTGAGACATCCCTAGAAACCCCAACGAAGACCATCGAGAACGTCTTGACGAATTCTACAAGTGGTGTAATGTTACCTGGCGAATGTGAGTCGACTACTCGGAGGATCACGACGGACGACGCCAAGGAAGGTAAAAACATTGTTGTTGTTGGGGATAGCCAGATTAGGTACATGGATAGATAGGATAGGAGTAGGAGGCAGAGAGTGTGTTTTCCTGGGGATGGGATGAAGGATATTGTTAGCCGTCTGGATGACATCATGAGAGGTAATGGGAGCAATCCTATTATCTGTCTCAGTGCTGGAGGCAACGATGTTGGCAGACGTAGGAGTGAGGACCTGATTAGCAGGTATAGATCAGCAATAGAGATAATTAGGAGGAAGGGTGGGAAACCTGTCATATGTGGCATTTTGCCAAGGAGAGGAGTTGGAAATGAATAGTTGTCCAGAGCAATTGGTGTCAATTGCTGGCTGGACAAATACTGTAAGGAAAATGCGGTAACATTCATTGACAACTGGGACCTCTTCTATGGCAGAAATGACATGTGTGCCAGGGATGGGGTTCACTTATCTAGGTGTGGGGGTGGGAGCACTGGCCAACGCAGTGGAGGGAGCTGTTAGGTCTTTAAATTAGGAATAGTTAGCGGTATGGGTTTTGGCGGGAAAACTGTGAAGTCGCAGGGTAGTAATATGAGTACTAGGAGAACTAGTAATAGGCAAAATGAGGTGGATATTGGAAAGCCAGTGGCACTAATTGACAAGGACAGTAATAGGTTTAGTGGAATAACAGAAAGGAGCAGGAAGGGTAAAGAGAGAGGAGGGTCTTTAAATATTTATTACGCAATAGTCGCAGTGCTAGGAATAAGATGGACGAGTTGAGACTAGTTGCTAGTGCAGGTAAACATAGATGTATTTGCCATTACTGAGACGTGGTTTAATTCAAAAAGTCGGGACATGCCTGCAGAATGTCACATTCAGGGTTTTAAATTGTTCCAAGTAGATAGAAGTATCGGGAAGGGGGGTGGGGGGGCATTGTATGTCCGAGATCGCTTGAACTGTTGCATAAAAACGGGTATTAAGTCTGAAGTAACACATACAGAGTCTGTTTGGA